AAATAAGAAAAAAGAAATAAGAATAAAAGAGAAATAACATCAAATAAAGAAGTAAATGATTTACATTATTAACATATGTTAAATTAAAAAAAAATCTAATTATTAAATACTTTAAGTTATAGATGAGACATTATTTATTTATTTTATTCATTTTCATTTTATCTTTGTTATTGATAACCTTAAAATATCAACATATCTGAATGTAACAATTTTCCTTTATCCATTCTTTTAGTTCTTTTATTTCAATCATACATGTATTATCATTCATTCCTATGATATTTTGGTTATTATTCTTATTTTTTGAATTTTAATTAATATTTCTGACATTATATTGTAATTACTTCTTTTTCAATTCAAACATATAAACAGTTAATGTCATTAATTTCATTTCATTATTTGTATTATGTTTTAACTATAAAAATTTCATGTTATTATGATTTGACTCATAATTCTTTACTTTTAATTATTTCTTCTATATAAAAATAACATTTTCCTTTTGTTAATACAAAAAATTCTACTATTTTATCATTTTGATTTATTTCAGTAATTTTGGTTATATTCTAAATATATAATCATACTTCCGAACTAAACCAATATATATATTCATAAAAATATCACAAAAGTACTTAACACACTTTTAAGTTCAAAACATTTGATTATATAAATACATGAATATTTAAGATATTCTAAAATTATTTTGAATAAAAATAAAAAATGTTAGTGAATTGTTTCATTATAAATTAAAAAAAAGAAATTAAATGTTAACAGAATCAATCAAATTCAACCTCTTGATAATGATAAAAATTATAGACATTGACTATTATGATCCTAATGATATAAAACTTTTTTAAGCAATGAAAAAGAATATTTTGTATATAAGAAAGTAACAAAAGCTAATTCCTCTTATTCAAATTTTTCAAAAAGAAAAAAAAACAAAGCGTGAGACTATGATGATTCTTGAATATATACGAATTTGAACAACTGAAATAAAAATACTTTGTTTTTTGATGTGGTGGTTAGACAAAACAATATAACAACTAAAATAAGTTATAGAATTATTACAGAAAAAAAATAAATAAGAGAAGTTAAAATTCATTAACCCCTTCAAAGAGTCTTTATAAAAATAAAATGGGTTTAAAAAAAGAAAGAGTAAAGTTGAATATAAAAATTTAAAACAGAATCTTATTGAATGTTAAAAATACTGTTCTATAAATAAACTAAGTTATCACACTTATTAAATTAGTTATTCCATTTTATCTCAAAGGTATTCAATTCCAAAAAAGTTGTATTGCATGATTAATTAACACTATTTTTTTATTCTTAAGAATTGAAAGAGAAGATGGTGCAAATAAAGTTTATATTTTTATTATAATCTATGAATATTAAAACAAGTAAAAGAATGATTAGTATTAATTAAAATTCTTTTCTTCTAACACAGGGAATTGTTCTAAGTATTCTAAGTATTCCTCATCAAATGGTAATAAAGAGAGTTTAGTGACATGATTCAAATTAAATGATTCAAAATTAATATCTTCACAATCTTCTAAATGAAGTTCTTTTAATTGAATATCATTTTTATTAAAAATCCTAATAGAAGAACAATAAAGATATAAAGATTTAATAGACAATGGTAACTTAACTCTAACTTGATTTGAATTTTCAATACAAACATCTTTTAATTGAGGATACTTTGTCATATCAATAGCCTTATTTCCTGCAGATCCAATGATTAAACAAGTTAATGAAGTTGGCATTGAAGCAGTAATTACATTATTTAAATATAATTTTTTAACTGAAGTAGCTTCATTTAATTGTAGTGCTGATAATACATTTGGACGAGCATCATAAATCATAAGTTTATCTAATAATTTTAAATGACTTAATTCTTGAAATTTCCAATTTCTACAATTATATAATTTTAAACATTCAACAGAATGAGGACAAATAAATTCTGAACATTCATCGACACATAAATTAAAAGTTATATCTATTAATTTTTCTAAACTCTTAAGAGATTGGGTTATATGTGTATTTGAAATATTAATTTTTGTTAAATAAGTTAATTGATAAATAAAATCAATAGGAATATTACTTGTAGTTAATTCTTTAAGTGTAATTGATAATGTTTGATGAAAATATGGTGTCATATCATTAATAGTTATTGAGGTTAAATGTTGAGGAAGCATTATTGAATGTTTTCTTCTTTCTATTTCTAATTTATGAAGACGTTCTCTTTCTTCTTTTTGTTCTTCTGTTTCATCAACAAAATCATCATCATCTGAACGTTCAATACCATTAATTCTATCCATTCTTCTTTGCATAATATCGTCTTGATCTACTTCTTCTTGAGGATCTATTTCAACATTTAAAGTTAATTTCATAACATTATCAAATAATTTAAATTGGTTTTGAATTCCATCATAATAATCTGCATCAATAATCATTTTATAAGGTAAATAATTTTGTTGCATAAATTCTAATGTTTCTACATTTGGTTTCTCTTTAATTTGTAAATGAAATTTTTTATCCATCATTACAATAACATTTTTATTTAATTGACTATACCATTGATCAGATACTAATACTGCATATTTACTCATTTGTTCAATATACTCTTCTTTTGTATCATCATCAATTTCAATAATAACTCTTTCAATATTTTTATACTCCTTAAATTCTTCTATTTCTTTGTAATTACCAATATTACTTAATCGAAGAATTTTTAAATGTTGTTGTTTATTACTAAAAACGGAATTTATATCAAACTTTTGTCTTCCAATATCAATTTTACATCTTTTTAATAATTTCATTTTTCCAATATTAACTAATGAAACAGGTGAATAATTCCATATAAATTCTACAATACAATCTTCTATTTTTTCCATTAAAGTAAGATCAAATGGAGGATCATATAAAGTAATTCTATCAATTGCATCCAATTGACTAATATATCTTGGTACTTCACCTCCTTCTAATATTAATGTATTTATATTAGGAAATACTTCTCTAGCTATTTGTGCAAGATATTCGTTAATTGTTCTTTTCATTATAAAAATTCCATCCCATTTATTAAAACAATACTCTTCTCGATTAATTGTTTTTCTGAATAGGTTTGGTGCTTTTCTTATCATTTTTCTTACATCATCACATTTTTTATTTATTTGAATAAACTTCTTTACTGTTTCTAATGAATCAGCATACAATATTACATTTGCTAAATACACTTTTTCTAATTGAACTCTATTCATAAATTCTTATTGAATTGAAATTTAATTTTTCTTTTATTTAGGTATTGAAAATTTTAACAAAAAAAGGAAGAATGTTTTAGGGTTAAAAATATAGAAAGTAAAACAGATAATAAGAATAATTTATATTCAAGAAACTTCATGTTTATCAAATAATAATAAAGAATTAATTAAGTATTAATAGAATTGTCATTTATTCATTAATTAATGGATATTAATAACTTCATACATCATTAAAATGAGTAATTTATTTGTTTTATTTATTATTTAGATTTTCTTCTTGTTTTATGAGTTAATCATTTTATTTTACTTTGTTTCTTTCTTTTTATCTTCTTATTTCTGTTTATTTCTTCTTTTTATATTCTT